CAAAGTGAGGGAGAAAGAGAAAGATTGAGAGAGTGTGTGTAGACATTAATATAGGAGTTTTGAAAGAGTAAATTCATTAGCTCTTTATTATAGAAGTGACCCCCCTATATAAAGATTTCAGGGATACTTAGTATAAAACTGCATGTTTGTTCTTATTTTAATAGAAACATTACAAGTTATTACGACACAGTCATAACTGATATCAACATTGTTTCGTATTCACTATTGCTTGAAGAGGGGCATTTGATGACCAGGTAATCTTGTGATTCGGTCGATTGAAAACCTTTGGTTGGTCGATAAACATTCGGTTGGCCGAAGAGTTGTCGGTCGACCTTTCTAGGAAATCCTGAGTAGAGGCCCTCATGTCATTAGAGTAAACTTGGGCCCGCTAGGCAGAGAGTGTACCACTGTAATCAGAGGGACAACCCTCCTTGGACAAGAGACCTTCTCAAAGGACGTTTAGTGAGGTGCTTTCAGGCAATTTTATGAGCGGTTCTTAAATCGCCTGAGGGAGTTGGTAATGAACAACTGTCGCTCTGATTGGGTTGCTTCCATTTCTTTGTTTGTTTGTGCTTCTGTCAAGTCGGCTCAGAGTTCCAACCGAAGGAAACAACGCTTGGTGTTTTCATCTTTTCATTATCTCGATACACCGTCCTTTAGTGTTCATAAGCAAGACCCGTTAGATTTTCTCGAGATTTTTGCAACTATATTTTTGATGCACAATACCAAAAGGCTCATGTAGTTTGTGATATGTAACGAAATGTCTAATATTTTTGTTATGATTTTCTTAGAGTAGTCAATTTGAGTTAGCCTGGTCAAATTTGGGTTAAGCGGGGATAAGTCAGTTATAAGTCAAACTCAAATAGTAATCATCTGACTGATAAGATATACATCTGACTTATAAGATATACATAAGATATTGCCGCTCAAATTTATAACAAAATTACTAAAACAATTAATCAAAATTAGAAAAAAAAAAGGTGAAAATTATGTGATAGATCCGGTATGAGGTAAAATTGGATGTAATAACTTATAACTAAAGAAGTTGGGGGATAGTGATAAAGGTTATCATGGTATTGTCATTATTTAGTGTAAAACATCACACATGATGGCTCCTATTTCAATTTTTCTCATTTCCCACTTCACTTTTATGCATTCGATTCATCATTCTAAAACTATTAGGCATGTAAATCAATTGAGTTTGAGTGAGTTTAATATGTATTCGTGTTGGATCTGAAAATATCCATGAAACACACCCAATGAATGAAACGTTCTATTAGGAAGTGGCTGAGAAAGAGAGAGAGAGAACAGAAGTAGGCAGACAAAATGAGCCCTTTATTTATAATATGGATCCCTATTTATAGCCCGAGTCTCATTATTATAAAAATACATATTAACCTCTAATTATTAACTTTTCAGGAGGTGCTTTTGGGTAGTTACAGTGTTATTTGCATATGATAAAATCAGAGGTTGATTCAATTGATGAGGGTTGCTAATTGTCTACTAATCCTAGGTTCGGTCGATATATAGTACGAAAGAGAGCTCCCCGTCGATCATCCTGAAGGCTGTTATCGCCTTGTAGGACTTTCTCTTGGCGTCTTCTGCTGATCGTTTGGAAAATATGTTTTTTTCACCAATACTCATCTAAAAATGATCGTTGGTAGCCCTTTGGTCATTTGCTTTGAAATTCGTGCAGGTGCATTTTTATTTGTACAATTCGTATTCGACTCTTTTTTTTTCTTTTCTAAATAGACTAGGTTTTTGTAATGACTCGTAAATAATATGTTCGTATTCAGTTTTATTCGAACCCAGTTATTCATATTTAGCTTTTGTTCAACTCTAATTAATTTGAATGATTTAAAAGAATAAAATTCAATATTTTTAAAATACAATATAAATATCAATATAGAAAGATTATAAATATTATTTGTTTAACTATTTAGTTAAATCCTGTTAAAATAAGCGGAATACAACAGAACGAAAGAATTGTTGGTGTTATGCTCATCAAATAAATCAAGCTAAAAAATTATTCATATTCAGCTCATATTTATTTATTTATTTTAAGCCTTGAATTCAATCACTCTTGGGTTAAAGATTAAGCTCTCAACAAACAGGCTATCATAGTATTGTTTGACAAATGAATCAAATAAGAGCTAATTTGCAACTCTAAAATATGATGTTTATGAACTGCAAGCTCTTATAGTAGCACTAATAGCTATCTACACTAGCTAATGTAGGAGCATCCAGCTCTTCGGCCCCTTATCATCTTCTTTTAACTTTTTTTGGCAGCATTCTTGTTTTTATTTCTTCTTTGATATATATATATATA